GAAGTGAAAAGCAGGTCTGGATCGACCAAAATGTGTTGCCAACTAGGATACTTCAATTAGCAAACGAGAAGTTTGGCCGAAAATGTCCCGCTTTAGATACTGATTTTACGTGATGAGTAGTAAGTGTAAGAAAATTGTTGAGATCTAATTACACAATATGGCCCAACAAGTAAACATTACCTAGAGGGTTATCGTGACGAAATCCCCGATTCCAAAGAACCTCTAACCAATTAAATATTTCAGCTTCTTCATCTGGAGTTTCCATGTGACCTTCATATCGGAAAGACGACTTGATTAACAAATCAATCTGCAAGGTGGATTAAAAAACAAAACAAAACAAAAAGCAATGAGCATAGGAGACAAAGCATCAAGAGCAGAAAATTTCCAATCACAGGAAAAATAAAAACCTGACCTGGTTACTCCATGCTGCCTCTACAAGATGAGTGCCGTACTCTTCAAGCATCTCATACAGGAGCACAAAAGCTTGCCACTGCTGCTCACTAGTCATCCCAGAGTCAACAGAGCCATACCATTCTCCCACACCAAGCGACTTGGCTTCCTTCTCTGCCCATATCTCCTTTTTTGTCATAGCACGATGAACTGAACTCCCTTCGGGCTTCTTCTCAGAGCTGGTCTTACTCACTTCACTAATGGATAAAACTGACTTCAGTATATGCAATGACTGCTTCCTTACTAAGCTCTCATCAACAACCTGAAAGGAAATGCAGTATACTCATCGACGATCCTATTGTGGAAATTGGAGAGTCTGTAAGAATAACGCGGTTTTTTTTTTTTGCCATACCAAGCCTTTCTTGATTTCATCCCAAAACTCTTGTTCGGATCTGAAGTCAAATTCGACTGCGTCTTTTTCTGAAACCAAACTTTCAGTTCCGTCCGTCCAAGAGCCAGAAGAAAGACACAAAGAGAGAACACTATAAGCATCCCTTCTCTCTATTGATCCAACCGAGAACAGCTTTTTGCAGCATTCCCAAATTCTTTTCTTGAAGCCATTCCTGGAGTTTACAGCTTTAAAAAATCACAAAGAGAAAACTAACCAACCTAAAAGCGAATAACTATTTTGGTTCTTGACCTTACCTTGAAAGTATGTATGTATTTCCATGATGTGAGATCTTCAGAGAGGACTGCGACGAGAACGCCTTTAAAATTGCAGGGAGGAGGAAACTAACAGCACATGAACGATGCTCCACGCTTTGTGACAAAAGCCGCTCAGTCGTATTACACAAATCCCAAAGTACACCAGCTGCAAAACTTCCCACCTTTGGCTCTGCCTGGTGACTTTGAAAAGCAGCACTCAGAATCAGGTTTAGGAGATGACACGACAGTGGAATCGGAAATGATCCAGACAGAGACACAATGTAGTTTTCGTCCATGTTTGTCGAACTCAAAGAATCACTAAGCAACAGGTCGCCCCATTTGACGAAGTCAGATTCTTCGTGTCGAAGTATCCCCATCGAAACACTAACTGATCTCATTAAGAAAGGCACCAAGCTCACTCCCAACGTATCCAATACACTAGTCTCGATGACAACATCAAAGAACGACTGAACAATCTGGTACAATCAAAACAAAGATGATCAAATAAGCTCAATGGATTGTGACTCTTGAGGATTGTAACAGTGAGGAAGACTCACCTTATTAAGCATATCCAAGTCATACGCACGAACCATCTTCATGAGTGGGATAAACACTCTCCACACAAATAACTGCAACGCATTATGATTATCCGCATTACCAAAGCCTGATTCAACCTCAAAACACCTCAATTTTAATTAAAATCCTCGAAATCTCAAACACACTATACATTACATATCCGCAAGAGTCAAATTTCGAACTCACCAAAATTCTTCAGTAGATGACAAAGCCCAGACACCAATGAAGCAATGTGGCTGCAATCATCAGGATCAAATCTCTTGTCCCCTATTATCGTGTCCTATTTTTCACAATAATGGAAGAAGAAGAAGCCATTTCAAATCTTAACCCCGAAGCCAAAATGCCGAAAGTGTGAAAAAACAATAAATCAATTCAATACCTCTAAACGAAAAGGAAGCTCCTCGATGAGAGATTCGAAAAGGGTGGAGGGAGATGCGCCGGTGGAGCTTAAAACACAGTCGAGAAAAGCAGGAACAGCTGCTGGAGGAACTTGCTTGAAGCTCAGCGATAGTGAAGTTATCACAGAGGAACCCATTTCAATTGAAGCTCGAATCGATCAGAAAAAAAAACGTAAACGAATTCGAAATTAGTTCATAGTAGTAGACTTGTTCCGAGAAATCCCTCTCTTAAGTCTTAAACCCCTTTTGGCTCTCTCTACTTTCAAATAATTTTCATGGCCAAGGACAGATAAACCCTAGAGGGGAAAAACAGAATTTGCAAATATATCCCTATACTTCTTGTGCTTTACATATATCGCCTAATAGTATTTTCAATGTGTCCTTGGTTCGGCTTAATCTAAATGGTTGGGCCTCAGGAAGCCGTAATAGTTCTTCAATGAATTATAAAATATTAGCTTATGTTTGCAACAGATTTTTATAAAAATAAAGAAATAAACTAACAAAATGCACAACCAAAAGTGTTTGTTTTTTCTTTATTCTAATAATGTCTACCTTCACAAAGATACATGATTGTTAAACAATAAAATTGTTGATACATGGAGGAAGACATTATTAATATTTAAAAAGTGTGTGATTGATGATTTGCCAACTTTGGTAAATGATCGTCAACTTGATTTGTTTTCCGTGGAGAATAATGAAACCTGATCTTGTGAATAATATCTTCTATCTTTGAATATCCCCCAACTATGTTGTCCGTATGTATGTTTCGTCTGTTACCCTTGACGAGTTCGATAAGATCGAGTTTTACAGTCTCCTTCCATGACAATCGATCGATCGATGACGCAAAGTAATCTGCTTTTTAAAAATAAATCAAATAAAAATAACCTTACCGACGCGTTCCAGACACGGACCGGTGAGCATGTCAAAGAGTCAATTCAAGGCAACCATTAAAGTAATTGATTCGATTTCAAATACTATAAACTAAATTAATTGGTCGATTTAGCTAGCCCCCAAAAAGAAGAAGAGGATAACTCATATCGACAACAGAACAAGACTTAACCATTTCACACATGTTGTTGTTAAAGTATTGAAACGTTATATCTCGTTTGTACTTTTTTAAAACTACGTTTAGTTATCAATTTCAGTTTTGTATACAAGTTTTCTTTTTGGCCGGCTTATAGTTTTTCTATTTAATCCAACAGTTATTCCTTTATCTACTCAACTGAATATAATTAAATGGTATAATTTTTGTAGTACTTGTAAGAATCAATAATCCATGCAGCTATGCGAGACAGCATTGAGAAATTATAATACACTTCCTAAACATGCTAGGCGTATGACGTGAGGAATGATATGTTCGAAATCAATTTTTGAGTTTAATTTCTCTAATATACAAAATAATAAAACTAATAATTATTGACAAGGTAGACAATTTTGTAGACGTTTGGAAAAGTGGGGTTCAATTCGAGTAACTGTAGGGAGAATCAAAGCTATTAATCATAATCAAACAAATTAAAATATACGATTGTATTGTTGTTTTGAACGATAATCACGTGGTCAGGTTGTGATTAAGGTCCTAATTATGTCAAACTTTGCCTGCCACGTTGCAGACCGATATAGCGATTTCACACCGACTGGTCTACGAATATTTAAACCATAGAATTATACTTTATTAATTAAACTGATTTGAAATATCTGGTTTCAAGATCTAATTCGTTGATATAAAAATGCTAAAATGATCTAATTATCTTGACAGATAATTCGATTCAGTTTTGTATAGTTTTCTTTTACAGATGATTCGATTCCAGTTTTGTAGTATATTTTTTCTCTTTGTCCGGCTTATAGTTTTATATTTTTAGCATATTGTTTATCAACGAATTAAATCTTGATTATTGATATGATTTCAAAATGGCATCCTACTAATATCATTTTCATTTATGTGATGGATTCTTGATGTATATATACATGGTCTGTGTGTTGGAATGTCCAAACTTCAAACATAATTTGTTGATCTGATTCATCAAAATAATATAGGTTTTCCGTCGAAAACCTTCGATTAATATACAATTAGTTTTGTTGGTTTGGTTCGAGTTTGGGTTCTTAAGTATTAAAAAATGAATTCTTGAAAGAAATATTAAAAAATGAAATGATTTTCGCCAAGTTTAGAGTCTACTAATCCGTCTCTAGTGTCTACTAATCCGTGTATCAGTATTATAAATTTATAATGTAAGCTGCTGAAACATTATACTATTAAAAAGAAGAATTGAAAAAAGTTAAACGAAAAATAAAAGAGAAGAAAAGGAAAAGCATACGCGAAATGAAAAAAGATGGTTGACCACCAATACTCACGTCTCGAGAAACAGCCATTTTACGATCAGTCGAAGAAAGATGTTTCCGGAATTTATTATTGGCGTGTTCTATGTCAATTTTCAATAAAGCTATGATTATTATTTTTTTATACTAGTACCCGAATAACGGAGAAATGGTATACAAATTTCTAAAAACACAACAGAGTTTTCGTATATTCAGAATATTCCTGAAGAGGTACCATTTTGACTTTTTGACTATTAAATGTGGACGGATCTTTGAATTTTCCGGATGTGATGGATTTATGAATGAACGAATTCTAGAATTTCTTGCCTATTTTTTTCTTAATACACCATAAATATTTTTCATTCGTGTATGCTTACGTAATTTTTTTTTATAAAGTTAAGGAAACTGAAAAAACAGAGAAATTAAATTGTACAGAAGGAAAAATAACAGAGACGAAACTCCCGATGAAAATTAGGTGTTGAGTAGGTACGGTCTAACTGAAATACACGAGGATCTTATTAACTTCCAAAACTGACTCGCCTCGCACGCGCTTACGAACTTCCCACGTGTGAAGTCCATCTTATAAGCCCGCCCGCTACTTGAATTCCCCAATTCTCTCCCAAAAAGGAAAACAAAAAAATAAAAGGAAGATCCCAAAGCATCTGGAGTAATTGATTTCAACCGTCCGATCAGCCATCTTGCCATCATCGTTCACCAATCCCTACACAGATCAATCGCCCTTCTCTCTCTCTCTTGCTCTTTCTCGCTCCTCTCTCTCTCTGAATCTCACCGGCGAGCCGTTCTCTTGGGTGGTGAGTGTTTGTTTATGATTATTTAGAAATTTCTTATTTTCCGTGGTTTTATTTGATTTCTCGGCTGCGGAATTCTCGATGCTCCTACATTACCCTCTTTGTTTATTTTTCTTCTTCTGGTTTCGAATCCTGTTTTTCTCCGGTATACTTTTGATTTCTGTATTTTCTCTATGTTATGGATTCGGAGAGCTTTGTATTTTCTTCTGTATCGATGCTACTCTGATAGGGTTTAGACTTATTTACCCAGAAATTTTGTGACTCGAGAGGCAAGAGCTAGGTGAAGTTTTTGTATTTGAATGTTTTGCTTCTATTCAAAAATGTTATTTGTTTTTGTACTTTGTTCAAATTCTCGTGTTCTGTTTCCATGAAAAAAGTTGTGTAGATAATTAAAAACGAATGTTTGTGATTATAGGCAGTAACAGTAGCAATCAAGCTTTAGCATCTCGAGAATCGCTGAATTAGCTCCGTTGGATAATCCGCTTTCTTCTTCTTCTTCTTCGTCTGCGGCTCGCGGTTTCATCTGTAAATGGGCTGCTTCCACTCAAAGGTAGCAAGAGAATTTCGAGGACACGAAGACCCTGTAAAGCTTGCCTCCGAGACAGCCTGTAAGTTACTTGCGACAATGAGTTTTAAGATGCTCCTCTAGATTCATTTCGATCTGCATGTTCATTTGTTTTCTGATATGAAAATCATTAGCTAGATTCTACGTCATCCTTATTCTCTGCTCGTTCATCTAGTTCACACTTGGGTTTTAACTTTCTGTTTTGAGCTATTTGTCTAATCCCATCGACAAAAAATTTCAAAGTTTGTTCATTTTACTCATGTTTCATCTTACCAATACCAACATGTCTACATCCGGTTTGAGTTACTGCATAGTCAAGAATGGTGTTTGTTTCTCCTTGCTTTAAGTCAATATGCCACACAATAAAAATTTGCAAAGTGGATTAATTTTTTTGTTACTGGTACTTTTTGTTTGATCTCGCAGTGTCGCTTGTTTTTCTCTTTTCCAGTTAGTGTGAGTGAGGTTGAAGCATTGTTTGAGCTGTTCAAGAGCATAAGCAGTTCCGTTGTTGATGATGGTTTAATAAACAAGGTACAGAGATCGATTATTATGTTTCTTTTTGACCCCCTTTGGATCTTTTTATGACCCCACTGTTGTAATCTTTTATTCCTCTTTACGCTATTCATCTACAGTAGTTTTCCATTTCGTTGACTTTCACCAATTTATTAGAGCTATAATGATTCTTCCATGCTATCTGTCTATTCCATATTGCACCAATTCAATGTATTGTTGTAGCCCTTAATGTTTGACTTGAATTTAGTTTATTTTATTGATTCCTTTGGTTTTGAAATTTGAGTCTTTCATGGCCCACTTTCTTTATGTTTTTTGTAATAAAATTCTCCCTTCACGTGTACGCAGGAGGAGTTTCAACTTGCCTTGTTCAAGAGCCGGAAGAGGGAGAATATATTTGCTAACAGGGTAATAACTAAGTTCCTACAAGTTTGTTCTTATTGAAGAGTGATCTAAACCAATAACTCGTTGAATCGAAAAGATATTATGTCCACTAAACTATACAGTTATTGCTCCCTTGCAGATATTTGATATGTTTGATGTTAAACGAAAAGGAGTCATTGATTTTGGGGACTTTGTCAGATCACTCAATGTTTTCCACCCCAATGCTTCTCTAGAAGACAAAATAGATTGTAAGTTGACGTAAGAGAGTTTCATATCTATTGCTTATCGAAGCCTTTGTTGTGTGAAGAGTTTTATTGATTCTGGTCTACGATTTTCTTCTCAGTTACGTTTAGGCTTTACGACATGGACTGTACGGGTTTCATTGAACGCCAAGAGGTAATAATCTCCTGCCTCTGTTTTAATGTATTAAGAGCAATATTCAGAATAATGTTCAGTGGTTTAGGATAGCAACTTGAAAGCTTTAAATACTAATCATGAAAGATCTTTGCTCAACAACATGTTGGAAAGATGTTCTTGATTCTGCATCTTTTTCTTAAATAGCCTTGGAGAGGAAATGAAATGATGATTGTGTGTGATGTTTTTGCAGGTTAAGCAAATGTTGATCGCCCTTCTCTGTGAATCTGAAATGAAATTGGCTGATGAAACCATAGAGATAATATTAGATAAGGTTTGTGGCCCCATTCAATAATATAGTGTTTACAAATTATACATGTGAGCTAAAGTTTCTAATGTGGTATATATATCTTTCTTTTCATTCATGAACAGACGTTTGAAGATGCAGACGTGAATCAGGATGGAAAGATTGATAAATTAGAGTGGAGCGATTTCGTGAACAAAAACCCATCATTGCTTAAGATCATGACGCTTCCATATCTCAGGTATTTTACAAATTGGCTTTTATGTGAACCAAAAATATAATTGGAAAGATGAGAAAAGAAATTGAATTAACGTATACGTGAATCTATGCAGGGATATAACGACAACGTTTCCGAGCTTTGTCTTCAATTCGGAGGTCGAAGAGATTGCCACGTGAAGAAACAAACTGGTTTACAAAGTTTGGAAGACGAATCCTGAGTTGATCGGTGTAATCGGCATCTGTTTCGTAAACACAGTAGAGCATATTTTTGTTTGGATTGTTTCTGGCATTTTTATTTTCTGGGTTCCTATTTTCTTCTCAGAACAGTTTTGAAATCCTGGGTTTTAGTTTCTTTTTTAAAAAAAAGAAGAAGAGCGTAATCACCAAATCGTGTACGTCATATATACGTAGGAAATGTTAAGCGAGTTTGTAGTTTGTACATATCAACATCATACGTTTGTTCTTTGAAAGTAAAGTAAGAGTAAAGATTTCTTTATGTTACTGGGGTCTGACTTCCAGTTGAATCTTATTATGACTGTCAAAATTGTAAATATAAAGATTTTATTGAGCATTTTAATGCGAAGCAAACTTACAACTTTGTTGCCACTAATCTAGCTGTTATAGCCCTAACCCATAAATTTTCGGCCTAAATAAGCCATTTAGAGCCCAGTGGGCAAGAGATTCGCAGAGCAAAGTGCGGCAGTAAGTTTACTACCAAATCATTTTCTTTTTGTATTTAAGATGGCAATTGGCATAGCTTTCATTATTTACTTCACAAAACTCAAAAGCTTGTTTTGAAGAAGCTAAGAGGCATGTCCAAACTCACTTGCTAATTGTCTGTATATAGAATTCATTTGTAGAAAAGCAATAAAATGTTATGTGGAAAAGTATATGAAAGCTTATTTGAGTCTAAAACATAGTTGCATACTTAAATATGTAATCGATTTTTGAGATAAATCATATAACTAAGTTTTAGACTCAAATTTGGTTTATTACATAAAACATTTTTTTTTATCGCGTATACTTTTTTGCCACTCTCATCTCCTTCCACCGTTCCTCTCTTCTCTCTCTCTCTCTCGAGTTTCCTGTACTTTAGGGTTCTTAATCGACAGAATTCGTTTGCAGCTAACATGTTCTCTTCATTGTTTCATTTCGATTTGGATTCCTCCAAAGGTGGCTTCTTCACATCCCTCGCGTGATTCCGTTGCTAGATTCTAGATTGGGAATCGAAAAATAGTTCCTCATGTTTAGGAGGCGGAACTTAGTTCTGGAATCGCTCCGTCGATTTGATCTCAGTAACGTAGAAACCCTAATTCCAGGGGCCTTGTGCAGTCGCCGCATAGTTGGCACACCCTCAAAACCATCTCTGTTCTGCACTAGTGTTCATCCCGCTAGATTAAGCTGGGAAGCTTCTTCGCAAGTGATCCTCAAGAAGAAGCTCGAAACAGCTCTTAAGGATCACCGAGTAGAAGATGCCTGGGATGTGTTTAAAGATTTGAAACGGCTCTACGGTTTTCCGGATAGTGCGACCATGAACAGGTTCGTGACTGTATTGTCTTACTCGTCTGATTCCGAATGGCTTCGCAAGGCTGATGATTTGAGTCATTTGGCTTTGAAGCAAAACTCAGGTCTGCTAAAGGTCGATGCTTTAACTAAGTTGTCGCTGTCTCTAGCGAGAGCTCAGATGCCAGAATCTGCCTGTAACATCCTTCGTACGATGCTGGAGAGAGGGTATGTCGTAACCTCAGATGTATTGAGGCTTGTGGTGATGCATATGGTGAAAACAGAGGTCGGGACTTGTCTAGCTTCGAATTATTTAGCTCAGGTTTGTGATCGTTTTTTGGAACTAAACGTGTCGACGAAAAGAAATAACACTGTGATGAATGTCATGAAGCCTGATACGGTCTTGTTCAATCTTGTACTTAGTTCTTGTGTGAGATTTGGGTTCTCTCTCAAAGGCCAAGAACTCATCGAGCTAATGGCGAGAGTCGATGTCGTTGCGGATGCATACTCGATTGTGATCATGTCCTGCGTTTATGAAATGAATGGCATGCGGGATGAGTTGAAGAAGTTCAAGGAGCATATTGGTTTAGTACAGCCCCAACTTCTTTGTCACTATCGGCATTTGTATGATAATTTGTTAAGCCTTGAGTTCAAATTTGATGATATTGGTTCTGCGGGTCGGCTTGTGTTAGATATATGCAAGAGGAAGGACTTAATTTCTGGTCAGAATCTTGGATTTGATTCCGAAAAGCCTCGGGTTTTGCCTGTTGGTTCTCACCATATCAGATCCGGTTTAAAGATTCAGATTTCACCCAAGCTTTTGCAGAGAGATTCATCTCTTGGAGTGGATGCTGAAGCAACATTTGTCAGCTATGAAAATTCCAAGCTTGGTATCACAAACAAGACTCTTGCAAAGTTAGTATATGGGTACAAGAAACGTGATCATCTCCCTGAGCTATCAAAGCTTTTGTTTTCGGTGAGTGGATCTAAGTTATGTGCTGATGTCATTGATGCTTGCGTTGCTATTGGTTGGTTAGAATCTGCTCATGACATTCTTGACGACATGGATTCTGCTGGACATCCCATGGACTTGGCCACATATAGAAAGGTTTTGTCGGGTTATTACAAGAGCAAGATGTTGAGAAATGCCGAAGTTCTTCTGAAACAAATGACGAAAGCCGGTCTAATCACAGATCCATCAGATGAGATTATTATGGTTTTACCAGAAACCGACTGTGAAAACACAGAGCTCAGGGCACTCTTGGCTCAGGAAATCGCTGCAGGAGAACAAACGAAAGTTCCAAGTATGCTCTACGAGCTGAACTCGTCTCTCTACTACTTCTGCAAAGCTAAAATGCAAGGAGACGCCGTGACAACCTACCGGAAAATCCAGAAGATGAAGATCCCACCAACTGTCCAAAGTTTTTGGATCTTGATCGACATGTACTCATCTCTTGGCATGTACCGGGAGATCACAGTCGTGTGGGGAGATATCAAAAGGAACATGGCGAGCAGAAACTTAGTGGTGACACAAGATCTGTTGGAGAAGCTTGTTGTGAACTTTCTCAGAGGTGGGTATTTTGAGAGAGTGATGGAGGTTATCAGTTATATGAAGGAGAAGGATATGTATAGTGATCTAACGTTGTATAAGAATGAGTATCTTAAGCTTCATAAGAATCTATACAGAACCTTGAAAGCATCTGATGCTGTAACAGAGGCTCAAGCGGAGAGGCTTGAGCATGTTAAGGCCTTCAGGAAACTAGTTGGTATAGTATGATTTTTAATTATATAACTTATTATTAAACCAATTTTCTTTCAATTTCACTGACATTCAGCACAAGATTATGCAAGGCTACTTATTTTTCCGAGAATAAAGAATCTCTCAGTCAAAGATGAAACACAACTTTTAGTGTATAAACAGTTTAAAAAAGACTTGGAATCATGTAATAATATATTATTAATCTTGGTGGCTTCTTCTCATCTTCTTTTTCTGTTGATCTTCCGTACGACATCTCTCATGTATCTCCTCTCTCCTCCGTTTCTTAGACATTTCCTCGTTCTTAGCTTTCTCTGCCACGTGAAGTTTCCTCTTCATCTGCTCCTTTGCTTTTCTTTTCTTCATCTTGTACTTATTCATCAGCTGATAATGCTTGAGGATAGCAAAAGCTTTTCGTTCTTCCGGTTCCATTACAGAAGCTCTTTTAGTCTCTAGTGATTGTCTTTTTCGCCTTGGTACATCTTTAGGTTTGGATGCAAACGGTAAAGCTGCTTGTAGTCCCTTTGGAATCACCAACTTACTGAACTTTCTCAGCTTCCTCTCGATCGGCTTGTAAAGTGAATCCTTGTTCACCGGAATAGGAACATTTTGCTCTTTACGGAGTTGACCAATAGTTTTCATCCCTTCCCACGTCTTGTCTCGTGGTTGCAAGGCTGTTGTTAAAGAACTGTAAAAATTTGGAACTTCCACTGTAGTCCAAGCCTTTAAGAAGACAATGTCGCTCATTTTTATTTGATCTTCAAAAGTACACCTCACAATCCCTTCTTGAGCCTTGTTCTCAAGCATGTTTTTAGCAGCCTGACAAAGAGAGTTTGTTAGAAAACCGAAGGAGAGAACAAATGAAGAAAAAACTATTTTTACCTTTTTCACTTGTCCTCTAATGCCACTAACTGTCTGGACAGAAGAACCTTCAAAGCGTGCTATTTCAAGGTCAGAGGTGAACATGTCTTTGACAAAAGCAGTCTTCTTCATGATCTTGCAAGGTTCTCCGACGAACTTGATCTTCTTTGCGATACGTGTCTGGTGGTTAAACTCGAGAACGACAGAAGTAGCGATGATCCTAAACCCTGCCTGATTGTTTGACATGTTCTGGAAAGCGACAAAGCCTGTTTTCGGTGGAGCAAGCGGACCCCAAAACATAGCGAGGCAGTGCATGTGTTGTGGAGTGTACTTGAGCATCCTATGTCTGCCATTGGCATCTTCAGTTGCGTATACAGGAAGCGTCTGATAACGTCTCCATCCGATAGAGACAACAATGGGATCTCTCGTCTTTAGTACTTTCTTGTGCCACCTATGTTTCTTCAACCGAGCCTAAGGAACAAGAAAAACATTATCAATTCAACTGGTCTTTTAAGATCAGAAACAGAGTAAATGGTGGTTCTAGTGTTTTGTACCTGCATGTATCCAGGATTGTCCTCGCCGAAACCAATACCTCCAACAAGAACTGGATGACAAGGATCAAAGAACTCAACCATCTCGTAAGGAACATTGTGAATCTCCAGCCGCAAGTATGATCCAGTCCTGAAACCTTCTACCTCAACCCGAGTATCCTCGTCAAGATCATTGAGTGCTGCCAAGTTCCTCTGTTTTATAATCTCATTCTCATCCTTAAGTTTCTCAACGTATCCAGCTGGACTGTTCTCACTGTGATCATCCTTATTGGTTTCTGCTTCAAACTTTGCTCGGCGAGCCAGCTTTTTTAGGTCACGCTCAGCTTCTTCATCACTAGACTCCATCTTCTCATCGCTACCATGCTTCTCTCCTGTCTCTACATCCTCAAAATCACCATAAAGTTCACCATTATGATTTCTCAGAGCAGCTTTTGACCAATCACCAGTGGTGACTCGATAACGAATGCACTCACAGACTTCTTTCTCTTTCCAATTCTTCAGATTTCCATAATTCACAAATTTGGAACAATCATCTGAGTTTCTGTTTCCCACATCACCTGAACTCTTGCTTTCTTCTCCTTTTGGCTTAAAGAAGTCTTCTTCTTCTTCTTCTTCTTCTTCATTATCACTAGTTTCATGGTTCTCATCATCATCACTTCCTCCATACACAAGTTGCCTCAAGCTGGGCTTCTTCATTATGGTATTCTTCTTCAAGCCTTCTTTCCATTTTGATGAGTTATCATCTGTCTCGTCTTCTTGAGAATCAAAAGCAGAGTCATCTCCTCCATCTTTATCTTCATCTTCGTCAGATTCAACATCTTCTGCTTCCTCAGAGTTTGTTCCATCACTCTCACCAGCTTCATCCTTGAAGATAGCTTTCCTCCGCAACCTTCCACCATGGATCTCAGTTTCCTCCTCCATTTTACTGTCATTACTCTCTACCTCAATCTCATCACCTTCAACATCATCTTCAGACTCAGGTTCTGTTCTTGAACTAGTCTTCCTGCCAAACAAATCAACGAAAGTCTTGTCCAATTTCTCATCAACAGAGTGTTTAATGTTCTGCAAAGACTTTACCAAATCTTCACCAACATCTCCTCTACCCTTTCCTTTATTAGTAACTCCTCCTTCTCCAGAGTACTGAACAAACCGATCATTAATGTTGACGTATACCGCATCTTTGTCATACAAAAGATCTCCAATCCCGGACATGGGAGCATAGAAAAGCTTGTCCTTCTCCCTCAACCCTTTCTTCATCTTGTCGGATGATGAAGGAAAAGGACAAGGATCAGGCAAGACAGTTACACCAGCTAAACTGTAGTCACCAACTCCAGCAACATGAACCTTCATCCCTTGTTTCAAGTTACATCCACGCAAGTAACCATACAATGTGATGTTCCTATGGCATTTCTTATCCATCTCAACTTTCTCCGGATGTGTAACATCTTCCAAACGATCAGCCAACACATAAGGATGCTTTTCTCTCCATGTCGTCGGAGTGAACTTGATAGGATTTGTAATAAACCGAAAGAGGTTAAGAGTCTCACGCTGAGAAAAGTACTTGCCGTGAACGAGACCAGACAGGTAGAACAAGCTAGCTCCAGCGTGTGTCTCTGTCCAAAACCGATGCTTGAGACGTTGTTTTGTTTTCCTTAGCTTCTTTACATGCTTAAACTCATCAAGGTGAGTGAGTACTCCCATAACTTTAGGAAACCCGTGGACTTGCATAATATTGAGAAACTCAAAAGTTTCCATCTCGAAACCATAGCTTCCGTCTATCACAAGTAAAGCCAGGTCAGCAACCTTGGCTAAATCCACCATCCCGTTGATGTCATTAGGGCACTCCACAATCTGTATACGCCGTGTGTGTTTACATGTTACGATGGTAACAGGTCCTCGAACCTCGGGTAGGGTCTGATGCGTGACGTGCTTCACAAGGGACTTGATCACTAGAGATTTTCCAACTCCTGGCGGACCTTGAACCACCACGATGTAAGGAGGAGGTTCTCCGTAAGTACGATCGATTGTCGGAAGATGAAGTCGTCTCTGCTCAATCTCCGCAGAGCGAGCTTGCGAACGCCTCGCCTTCACAGCCGACTTAACATTAAACGCCTTAGGGTTTTGCTTGTGATCGGTTTCAGGTTTCTTTTTGATGAAAGAAGGACCTGATTTTCGAGGTCTATGCGACCTGTGAGACCGCATAGATTCATCGGCGGCGGCCATGGCGTGCAGGGAGAAGAAGAAGATGAAGAAACGTTTTTCAAGATTGAATAATTAGGTTACTTTTGATTCTCATATAAATGTTTTTAATAATTAATAAATTCCGGTTAGTTTCCAAATCTTTTAAATACATCTATAAAATTCAGGGACTTGCATGGAAATTCTTCTGAAGTTAGTTCAAGGTTTGTGGGGTATATCATCTTAAATGAAGGGGTTGCTTGGTAGTTTCGGTGAAGTTATGAGGTCCTATAAAAAGCGGGCCTTTGATAAATAAATAAAGCTAAATGGACCTAATTAGTTTCTACATTTACATTGAAAGCCCAAGCTCAATAGAGTCTGTTAAACCGAGTTAACTCGTGAAACTCGCTGGGTCGTACTTGTAATCCTCGATTCCGAGCCTTTTCGATCGGAAGTTCCGCGACGGAAGAAGTGATTAGAGAGAAACCTAAACCTAAACCTAAACCAAAACCTTTTTGTCATCGATTTACCACCGCCGATGGATAATCCAAATCCTATGAGTGAGTTGTTCGGCGAAGATTCGGACAACGACTCTCGGTCTTCGCATTCGAAATCGTCTTCTTCCGGTAATGCTTCTTCTTCGTCCTCCTCGTCTGGTTCATCTTCGTCTTCGGGGGCGTCTTCGTCTAAAGGCGGAGATGGTGACGGTGCGGAATCTAAAAGCTCAAGCGATAGCAGAAGCAGAAGCAGCGGCGGGAAAGAGGAGCATGGAGATGATGTAGTAGAGAGCTATAGGAGCAACGATAATGTAGAAAGTGGAGCTTATGCTTATGACGAAGAAGAAGAAGACGAGAAGGATCTTTTTGGGTCTGATAATGAAGAGTACACCAAGACACCTGCTATTAGCACTTACTCAATTCCGGGTAAGTTCGACTTTCTTTTGAGATTTATACTCTTAAGAAAACAAAACCTGTAGAAAATTTGGATTGTGTACTTTAAGCAACATTATTGAATCAAAGGCTAGAGAAATTGGCATGATACTGCATTTTTCAGAACTTATGCGTCTCTATGTAAATATTCTTCAAGATAGCTTTTGTTCCGTCTTGATTGTGTGATTGATGTGACTTTTCACGATCACTATAATGTCAGGGTGGAACCATATTATCTTTGTGAAATTACTTCTGAGACTGAATTTTCGTTTGGCTACTAAGTTTTTGCTGGTATGATGTCAGTTTTACCTGCGGGGTGGAGCAATGACAACCATGGTGGGAGAGGAATGGGACGTGGTCGTTGGCCAAACGGCAGAGGAGGAGCTGGGCTTCTCCCTCGGCCTGGGCCTTACCCTGGAGGACGTGGTGGTCGAGGTGGTTTCGGAGGGAGATACCAGAGTTACCAGCGCGACGAGCGTTTTGTTTCCGAGCTCAAACTTTCCAAAAGCAAAGAAACTTTGTCTAGGAAATCAACAGTCTTTCAAGAGGTAAACATTTTTTATACAGGCATATAGTCGTTTCGCTACTTCATGTTTCATTCTAGTTTTCTATTTTAATCGCTATGGTAACACGTTTCTGTTGCTTGATGTTTTAACAGCCATGTGAGCTTGCTAGCTACAGTCGTGTAGAAGGTGGAGAAGTATTCTATGATGACCGAGGATTGGTGAGAGCTTTTGGTATTGTTGTTCTTTTAGATCCTCGCTTATATACTTCCTCATCCCATTTAACTATCTACTTGATTGGAGTATACATATATGTACGCACCTACATATGTAAATATACAAATCATCCACAGCTTATATGTTGTCCTCTTTTGTGTTCTTGTTTTCCAGAGGCTTTTAAGGCGCAATTTTTCTCCTCAAGATCTTGCAGCGGATTTGAATCAAGGTTATGATACTTTTATTGAGAAAAGAGGTAATGAATTTCGTGTCCTAGTATATTTGATGGGAACTATTAGAGCATGTGGAAGATGTAGAAGTTTGAGGTTATTCGGCTGATTATTTGCTCGTATGAGGTAGATCTGGGCTCTGAGGGCTTTGGTGACCTTCTTGGCAGCATTAGAGCAAAGAACATTTCGTTGGATAACATTCATTTTGTGGTATGAAGTGCTTGTGTGTGTATCAGTTCATTTCACTTTCAAATTATTACTCTGAAATATTTATCTCAAGGTTTTCTCTTTTTTTTTGCTTTGATTTGGACAGACGTTCCGTAATAATCTAAACAAGGTAAGTAAGATCCTCAGCAATTTTGGAGTACTGAAAAAGAAATGACAGTGCATGGTTCTGTTTCATAAAATCACTCGCTGTGATTTGTTTTCTCTTTCAGATACTGGGAGCTGCTTACAACCGGCACGAACCGTGGGAAATGGGTGTGCATAAGAGGAATGGAACCATATATCTGGATGTGCATAAACTGCCTGAAAGACCACAGAGTGACTTAGATCGCCGCAGGTAATCTTCATTTTTTTTATTGTTGAATAGGAAGCAATATTTCGAGAAAATTGGGTCAGAAGAGTGCTGCTAATGTATCTGATGCTATATTTGCATCAGATGTTACTGGGGTTATTGTTTCGAAAGCCTTGCGACGGAAGATCCGGGGAGAGGTTATGGGGAAGAAATACATCACGTGGATGCAAATGTTGAATTTTGCTCTGTAGTCAAGACTAAACTGGGAGCTCACCGTGTTCTGATGGGTGCTGAAATGGATTGCTGCGACGAAACCGATGAAGGAAAGAGGATTTATATAGAGTTGAAAACTTCTCGCGAGGTATGCCTCTTCATGCTATAAGTTTTCCTTTAAAGCTCCATTGTTATTATTTCAGCTTCTCTGTTTTTCAATTGCCTGAAACTCCTTGCTGGTTGTTGTTCAGTTGGATGATCGTACCGTAGAGAGATTTGAGAGAGAGAAACTGCTTAAATTTTGGGTACGTATGATGATGTCTCACGAGTTTTACATATATCCTCTTTGTATCTCCTTTCTTGTGGAGCCTTTGAGATAATAACTGTGAGAAATATGCTGCAGATACAATCATTCGTTGCGGGAGTCCCATACATTTTCGTTGGATTCAGGTGAAAAAACGATTTCGCCGACAAAGTTTAATCATTTCGAGATTCCAGCAAAGCAATTCAAGTGAACATTTTCATTTCAATATTTCCTTTACTTGGTGTAGAGATGATGGAGGGAGACTAGTACGCACAGAGACAATGGTAACAAAAGATATTGCGCACAGAGCCAGATTGAAAAACCATTGGCAGGTTAGTGTTGTATCTCTAAACTTTCATTGTATAATATGTACATAATGGAATTCGAATCTCTATTAATCGAAATCTTGTTAAAGCTAAACACAATTATATGTTGGGAATTAGGGAGGAGTGTGCTTGGCATTTGCGGATGAGGTTCTTTGCTGGCTATACGGCACTGTTAAAGAAAGTAAGCTCCGATATTCTTTTATTTTGTCATTGGTCTAACATAGAACTATGGAAGAAGAAGATCTTCGAAAGTAATATATTTTCGGACAAATGTGTTTTTGCAGACGAAGATTACACGCTTCAGTTCGTGCACCCTTTCATGAGGCTAGAGCTTCTTCAAGCTCAGTCTTGTCCTGACGCCATCACTAACCATGTTCACCTTCTTCAACATCCTTCATCACCTCCACCTGAGTAAACTAGATAACGAGGCTTCTTTTATTGGAAGTCTTGTAGTTTTACTACGTAGGATTCAAAATCAAATTTTCTTTTAAATAAAGGTTTTGATTTTTGGATCTCTCTTGTAACTTATACACACAACCAACCCAGATCATGAAAAAAAAACTGCACTTCAAGTTATTTATATTTGGTTTAAAGCTGTTATTCTTTCACCTCGTGAAAACGAAATTAACTTGGGGCCAAATCCCTTATGTAGTCTTAACACGTGAGCGTCACGTGTCTCTTCCTCTCTTTCTCTCGGTGGCTGACGAATCATCATCGCTTTACCGGAGAACCTAATTTTATTTGTTTCTTTCCCGTTTTGCCCTTCCCTCTTCTTTTATTCTTTTCTTATCTACACAAAAAATCCAACCGAGAACAAAAAAAAAATCTGTGTATGTACCACCAAAGAGACTACTTGTTAGATAGATTTACGCGAGACGGAAGCTCCTTTTCAAAACCCTGGCGATTAGGAGCTCATCCCTCTCTCCTGGTGCGCCTTTGTTCGTTTTTTTGATTCACCGGCGTGGATCTCCGGTGACGGTTCCGGAAGTTTCAAAATATTCTCGGAGATTCGTAATTTCGGGAGAGATACATCATGTATAGGGAGAGGGGAACGGCTGGATCGAAGTCGGAGGTGATCGATCGGAAACGGATAAACGAGGTTCACGATAATCGGGCGTCGCATTCCATGTCTCAGCCCGTCGTCAATGGAAAGGGCAAGGCAGCATCCAACTCCGTCTTGATAGGGAAGCAGCTGCATGACAACAACAAGGATAACTATCGTCTGGCTTCTCTCTCCAAGACTAACAATTCCGACGGTGAGTTTCGTTTTTTGCCCTCTATCGCTCTTTCTCTATGTTAATCGCAATTTCGGATTTTTCGATTAAATTCGATTCGAGCCCTTACCTAGGGTTTTCCCCGTTTCTTAATTTGGGATTCTTGGACATTTTTCGTGGAAATTTCTTAATCCTGAACCTCTTTGTTTGTCATCGGAGTGAAATTCTGGAAGAGCTCAATGTATTGTTTATTTCACGTAATCAAATGTGGAAAAGCTAGAAACTTGATCCTTAGACGCAGCTTGTGCTCCTGATTCGAGCAAACCTTTCTTATTTTGTTTGAAAGAAAGCTTTATAAGAATGATGCTGATTGAATGTTTTTTCTGGGCATTTCCTGTGGTTATATTCAGCTGTAGATATATCAGAGACAGACAGCGAAGAATCAGAGGTCAGTGGTTCTGAAGGAGAGGACACCTCGTGGATCTCCTGGTTCTGCAACCTTCGTGGCAACGAGTTCTTTTGTGAAGTTGATGACGATTACATCCAGGATGACTTTAACTTGTGTGGACTCAGCCATCAAGTTCCCTACTACGACTATGCCCTCGATTTGATTCTGGATGTGGAATCCTCTCATGGTAAGTCTTACCCATGAGTAATTAGTATAAGCCAAAAATGGTTCGTCTTTAGGTTTTGTGTGTTTCAATATTTGGATTAATGGGTAACAGGTGAGATGTTCACAGAGGAACAGAATGAGTTGATCGAGTCAGCAGCAGAGATGCTATATGGAATGATTCATGCTCGTTACATATTGACAAGCAAAGGACTGGCTTCTATGGTAAAAAGACTTTCTTTTTACTCGAAGTTGCATGCTTAGCAAAGCGTATTACCTATAAGAACATACACCAACTGTTTGTTGTCTTTACCAATGATGATCTTGCAGCTAGACAAATACAAAAACTACGACTTTGGAAGATGCCCAAGAGTTTATTGTTGTGGCCAACCTTGTTTACCGGTTGGTCAGTCCGATATCCCTCGAGCAAGCACCGTGAAGATATATTGCCCCAAATGTGAAGACGTCTATTACCCACGATCAAAATACCAAGGAAGTATCCTTTTTAAAAACTTTACTCGCTCCTCATTTATATATATATGCATGCTTGATTAAAAAGAGTCTAGTCTGGTTTTGTTGATTCTCGTTGGATATTCCTATATCCTGCTGTGTTGCTGCAATCTTTGGTGGTTGTTATTCTTTAAGCACGAAAAAAAACAGACATAGATGGAGCTTACTTTGGGACAACGTTTCCACATCTGTTCCTGATGACGTACGGACATCTGAAGCCACAAAAGGCGTCGCAAAGCTACGTGCCAAGAGTGTTTGGGTTCAAGTTACACAAGCCGTGAAGGAAAAGAAGGAAGAAAGAAAGAAGTTTTATCCCCTTCAACTAGATCCAAGAGCATCACGGGTTTTGAGAAATCTGGAGGAGAGTTAGTGTAAACAAAACAAAGCATAAAAGGCATAATTTGTATCACGAAAGTGAAACGAGTTTCTCTCTCTTTTTTTTTTTTTGTGTTGTGTCCTTTAGGTTTAGAATTACATTAGCAGCATGAATTGTTGAAGGGAAAATACCATATTAAAAAATTGTAATACTTTTTCATTCTTGTTTTCTTTTTCCCAGTACTCAGAATCGGTTTAACACGCGGTTTAACACGCAATTGGTGTGTCTTGATTGTTGATGTAATTCATTCGACCAAAAATGGTTCCATAAAAGCCCATTGGGCCCCCAGTCCGATTCACATCCATGATGCTGTCGCTTTCTCTGACCAGTGACCAAGAAAGCTTTTGTCAAATATTTTAATTTTGTATAGGTGTGTGTTCCTGCGAGCATATAGCGCTCTAGATTACGTATCTCTCTCTTATTTCTTGCTTGGTTGATGAAGAAGGCCTTTTGATTGTTTTCTTTCTCTTCAGCATCCAATCGATTTTGTTCCGCATCGGAAAGTATTGACCTTTCGTCGTCCATTGGTTGCAACCCTAAAATCTCCGAGACGATTTCTTCATTTGTTTTTTGGATCTCTTTCAAAATTGGGCGTTGTTGAATCGCGCTTTGTGATAATGCCACCGTTTATGTCTGGGTCCAGAGCTGTATTTTCCTTAATTTCACGTGGAAGCGCAATCAGGAACCCGATCAGTCGTGCCGGGATCGCTCAGAGGAGTTTTATATCGGATCAATTTCGTCGATTTGGTTCTCTTTCCGGCGTCGAGAGATGCTCATCTTACGGGCTTATGTCCAATTCCGATGCTAGAATAATCTCATTCGGGAGATTGCTCGACACCGGAAGCGTAATTCAGAGACGGCATTTTCTGGGTTGCGGAGACGGGGAAGAAGGTGGTGGTGAGCTATCGAAGATCTACGAAGAGCGACGTGTCTTGGGGTAATTACATCAAACTCTTGTCCGACTTCGGATTATCTCTCCTGTGTAGATGATTCGTCTGCCTTTTGCATTCGCATCCTTCAAACTCATCTGAAATGGCGCAACCTTGAGAAATGGCTTAAATTTACTGTTTCGTGGATCAAACATAGAAATGATGCTTCAGTGATCTAAAGAGCACCTGAAGCATTTGATTGCCTTTGTGTTTTGTATTGTTTCGAGACCGATCAACTATGAATATATTTTCCTGCAAGATGGTTGCTAAGATGATAGTCTGAAGAATTCATTTGTGTAAAACCGGTTTGTTTAGGGAGAAGTTGTGTGTTCCTTTGAGTGATCCTTTGATCATTATTTTTTGTTTTGCTACATTGAGAATCCAAAATGACGGCAGTACATAAGTTTAGCTCTAATAAGTTAATAACGATGATTTGAGGTTCAGAAATCAAAATTAGCGCAAAGAAGGTTAGGTTGCTCATGCTTTTTTCTTCGTGTTACAGGTACTCTCCGGAGCAATTGTTCAATGTAGTTATAGCAGTAGACTTGTACCACGGGTTTGTTCCTTGGTGTCAACGCTCCGAGATTCTTAAAGAACATCCAGATGGGTCCTTTGATGCAGAATTGGAGATTGGTTTCAAGTTTCTTGTTGAGAGTTACACTTCCCATGTAGAATTCGAAAGGCCGAAATGGATTAAGGTAAAGGACTTGTTTTTTTGCTTTTCATCTTTCTGTTTGTTGGATTTGAGTGAGTGATGGATCTTATCATCTTATGACATGATTTGAATCCATACATTTTCAGACAACAGCGAGGGACACCGGCCTGTTTGACCATTTGATAAACCTCTGGCAGTTTAAGCCAGGACCAGTTCCAGGAACCTGCGACCTTTCTATCCTTGTCGATTTCAAATTCAACTCACCTCTCTATCGCCAGGTAAAAACTACTTTACAAAGCCTCTGCATTTGTAGGTGTCATTAGTGTTACTGACTAATTAAAAAAACCGACAAGAGAATTCTGATTTCTTTGTTCCTCGGAAAGATTTGAGACCTGGAAGTTGTTAATAGTCGAAGAAATCTGCTAGAAAATTATGGTTACTTTCGTCCTGAAACTTGAAATTTGTTAGTAGGAATCAGAGATATCTACTAGAAGAAAAATGATGATTTCTTTGTAACTCGGGAGGTGAATGATGGTTAATGTAAAACTTGAAAGTAGTTTGAAAGTTTGTCTCTTGTTGGTGTTCTCTTGAAGGTGGCTTCAATGTTCTTAAAGGAAGTAGCAACAAGACTCATGGGGGCATTTAGTGACCGGTGCCGACTAGTGTATGGTCCAGGAGTTCGAGTAGATGAGCAAAGAGCTTGAGACATATCATATATATAAACATGGGAAGAAGCAACATCAGATTAGTTTTCATCTTGTTTTGCTAGAGAGCGATTACGCATAGCTTGTTTTATTGATTTTTCATATATGAATTGCTTTTGCATAACAAGATCAGATGTTTGTTTAATGTAAAAGCCGGAAACAATAAATACATGTATTTCTCTTTTGAAAGTATTTTCTTTCTTAAAACAGCTCTTTTTAGTGTAGACATTGTTGATAACGTCACATGTCCTGACGTATGTGGGAACGTAGCTTGAAAATATTAAAAGCTTTCATAAGCTAAAAGAAAGTGGAGGGGAATTTAATTAGATGGAAAAGTCTTAAAAAAGGTTTGGAGATTAACATTTTGAAGGGAAAATCATAAATTTTAAGTCCAGTCAAAAATCTTAGTCACGACTCACGACCATTGAACTCTCTGGTGTGGTTACAGTGTTAAGTCTCTTTAGAGATAAACCAATGAGGCAATGTTCGATTCGATTGTATGAAACCATGAATGTAGTATGTACGTGGTGTAAGTAGAAGTGTAATTAAATTATAAACAAAATTCATAAACCTTCCGTTTTTCATCTTAAGGTTTTATTTTGATATTGCTTTGTATATATTCTCATTTCTCAGTGAACAAAATTCCCTTAAGAATGATTTGTTTGTTGTGGGAAGGGTCACAGAATTTCACATTTTGTCGGGAAGGTGAAGAAAAGAAGAAAACTAAGCAACGGAAGTGGAGACGCGGTTTTCACCTTTTTCTCCATCATCATTTTCCCAAATGATATCAAAAGCATCTCCTTTTTAAGTCAAACCTTTGATGGATTTTAGCCCACTTTCTCATTCTATTTAGTAGTTAAATTAAATAAAAAGGTAGAAAAAAAAGAGAGACGGGTTCTTCGAATAAAATAATAATACAAAGTTACAAAAGAATTTTTTAAAAAAAAACTTTATAATTAATATATACCTACCAAATTCGATCGAAATTACATGTTCCAAATCCCAAGAAGATGTTGTACTAGTAGTTTAAAAACTGAGCTACTGACTTGCAACAACTATTCAATAACTACATGTCTTACTCATTACGACATAATTACATTTCAGTATATTGACTTGACTATATCACACGCTTCTATTTAATTTCCTTGAGCTTTGGTTTACTTTCTTCTAATCAAAATTCTTACTACTACATCTACTTTCCTGATTCTTGAATTGGAATTATACGTAAGTATAACGTTCCATTCCCTTAAGATCCTTTGTACAATAGAAGAAAAGACACAAACATTTGTAGTATATAAACGCAAAATGACTCACTTATAGTATGTTTTTTTTTTCTTCAATAAAACAATGAACAAACATAAACAAAGAAAATGATGGGTTTGGTTTGGTCTCTGTCTCTTTAAAGAGAGATTGTTTTGGTCTTGGTTAAGTCAAATATGAAATAACTCTGGTCCTCTGTTTACTACTATCGTCTTTTACTTTTCTACGTGATGTTTTTTTCATTTTTTCATTCTTAATCAAAAACTCTCTACCCTTTATAAAGCAAAATCTTTCATTTTCTTGTGTATCCCCATAGATAGAAAACTTTCTGTCTTTTACTTAACTCTTTCTCTCTCTCTCCCTCTCTCTCATTTCTCGTTTTCTCATCTCTTTCCCCTTTCTTGTGTTCACACACCCATCTTCCACTGATTGTATAGCTCATCTAATTCTAAACCCATTTTAGGGTTTCTTCATATAAACAATCTCCTCCCTTGCCCTACAAATCTTTTCTTTTTCTGGAAACAACAAAAAAAAGTCTCTCACTCTTTAATTCATAGCATCTGACTTTGCTCGTCTCTCTCCTTGATTTTCCTTTGAAATTCTTATGTCTGCTTTTATAATTTGTGTATAAGAGGTTTTGGGTTTTCGGAGTAAATATACACCCAAATCTTCAAACTAACCAAAGAGCAAGAAAGAAAGAAAAACAGAGGAGACCATGAATTGTCTTTTCATATTCAACTCCAACAAACCTAAATCCAGAAGAAACCTCCAGAAAGAGAACAAAAACATTAAAGGAAGAGAGTTATTACAAAAGTCAGCTCCAGGATTAACGACCCGTACGAGAAGGAGGAACCAGGCGACGTCGTTTTCATTCAATCTCCCCGCACCGCCGATACCTCTGCCATCTCCAACGAGTTTAAGAGCCTTGCATACAGGGAGAGAACAGAGTCAAGATTTGAGGGTTTTCTCTTACAAGGAACTCAGTGACGCCACGTGCGGGTTTGACAGAAAGCTTAAGATCGGAGAAGGTGGCTTTGGTAGTGTTTATAAAGCCACCATTGACAATCCCACCGGAGGAGATTCTCACTCTCCTCCACTTACCGTCGCCGTTAAGAAACTCAATCGACAAAGCCTACAGGTAATCTCGGATAAGCAGAATTTCAGGTTAGATACAAGTTTTCACAAATTCGATCAACCAAGCAAGACTGAGACAATTAAGTAATGTTTTGGGTTTTGTGAAAAGATTCAAACTTTAGCCAAGAAACAAGTTTCAAAGATTGCATAATGTAGAAAAAGGTTTCTGTAATGGAATTTTCCAAAAAGATTATAACTTTAAACAAGAACAAATTTCACCCATGTCTTACAAACTAAGCAACATTTTGACAATTATGGGAAACAATTCAAGCTTTAACCAAGTAACTACAAGTTTTCAAAAATTGGTTTGGTTTTGTTGTATAATGTACAAAAAGGTTAATTATTGATCCTCTGTTTTGTAATCAAAGGGGCACAAGCAATGGCTTGCAGAGGTTCAGTTGTTGGGCGTAGTGAATCACCCCAACGTAGTTAAACTCTTAGGATATTGCTCAGAGGATACAGAGAGGCTTTTGGTTTACGAGTTGATGTCTAATCTCAGCCTAGAGGATCATCTCTTCACTCGAACAACCACAACGTTGCCGTGGAAACAAAGGCTTGAGATCATGCTCGGTGCAGCTCAAGGATTGGCTTATTTGCACGAAATCCAGGTGATTCTCATTCCCCAAACCCCATCATAACCAATAAAAACCCTTTTGATTGTTTCTTATGCAAGATTAGACATTTGAGCCGAACCGTAATTTGTGTATAAACCTATCCAAGGTTCTCTGTTCTATACCTTATAAACCAAACTGGAACCAAACCAAAACCGAATGAGTACTCTCACTCACTAGATACATGTATGTGTTTTTGGGCAGATAATATACAGAGACTTCAAATCATCAAACGTGCTTTTGGACGATAATTTTAATCCGAAATTATCGGACTTTGGTCTCGCTAGAGAAGGTCCCCAAGGAAACAAAACTCACGTTACGACCGCCGTAAGTAACATTTCTCTTATCTAGCTTACATATTCGATACACTATCAGTTGCTTCATCCCCAAGTAACAACTTCCTCTTCTTCATTTTTTCCTTGATTCATTTAAAAAGAGAGTCGGAACAAACGGCTACGCAGCTCCAGAGTACATAGCAACCGGTCATCTCAGGACACATACTGATGTCTATAGCTTTGGAGTTGTTCTGTACGAGATCATCACTGGTCGTCGTACGATCGAGCGACTGAAACCTCTGGATGAAAAGATTCTTCTAGAATGGGTCAAACTATATCCTGTTAATAGCAAAAGCTTCAGAATGATCGTTGACTCGAAGCTACGAAGCAAGTATCCAGTTGATATGGTTAGAAGAGTGGCTAAATTGGCTGATCATTGTCTGAAGAAGAACAATAAAGAGAGACCCACCATGGCCTTTGTTGTTCAAAGTCTTAAGAAGATCATTGAGGAATCAAATGCCGGAGATATGAGAAGTTCTGTCGGAGAATTGAGGAGAGGGGTTATTTGAGCATAAGAGGATTATTTATTTTTGAGTAGTAGAGAATAATTATGCACATTAATATTAAGCCCAAGTAGTAATATTGAGCCCAGTAGCCTAATAGTTCCGTTATTTTAGCTGTGATTACCAAAAAAAAAAATTAAATTTATAGTTGTATAAATTTATAGCTGGAGATGAGTCTTTCAAAAATTTATATAGTTCGGAATGCTTATACGATAAGTTTTTGATTGAAGATCGCTTATAGTGTGGAATGGGTTAATTACATGTGTGGAACAGTGGAAGTGAAGAAGAGACAACAACAAAAAAGTGTTAAGAAAGTATATTATGTTTATAATTTTCTTAATTTTACTTATAATTTACTCAATTTTTTTATTTACTTTATTCATTTTAATCCATACTTTTATCTTTAGTTATTTTTTATACATTAAGTTTGTTCACTTCGTTTATGATCAAGTGGCTATTGTTTTAATTATGAGGTGTTAATTTTGGAGCCATCTCAACTATATTATAGGTTGTTTAGATTGGGATCCTGACCAGGTCCGAAAGAGAATTGTTGGTCAAGACTCAATTTTATAAACACCAAACAACACAAAAAATTACATAAATGCAATTAAAAGGTTCAAAAAAAAAAAAAACTGTTATAGATTAGATTTTGGTTTGGTCTGGTTCGAGTCGGTTCAGATTTTTACCTTTTAATGTGTGAAAAAGCCCAAGTAATGACATTTAAACCCATTAAAGCAATTAGTTCCATTACTTTTGAGTTTTGTCATTTATTTAGGGAATGACTTAACAAACGTAACCAGATATATTCTCAAAAAGAATCTATGGTTAACAAAAACCTACGTTTGTGATTTATAAACCAGGAGATGAAAAGTTTAAACACTTTAAGCTCCTTTTCTGAAAAAATAAAACTGTACTGCTCTTTTGGTTTTTGGAACTAATTGAGAAATTGTACTGCTATTCTAATGAAATGAGAAAAAGAAAGAAAAAACATGTACTGCACAAATAATCTCAAAGAACATGACAGAAAAAGAGGTCTAGTAATACACCATTATATTATTCTTGTGAGTCATGACATCAAACCTACTCCTATTACTATATCAAATTTATTTCGAATCATAAGTATATCACATCTTGATTTACTAACAAAACTTAAATAAAAGGTAGGTAATTGTTCTCATCAATATTATATTTTGAATGTCTTTCATTACAATCCCATCATTCAAATATAAAACCACCACAGCCAGCTGATGATGTATATATATTACATACAAATTTATTTTGAATCATAAGTATTATTTTGTTTGCTTCACATATTTGAAAACAAAGAAAAGAGTTAAACAAAATTCACATACGCGTTTGGTGGCCATGGTTTTCTTGTACTCCCAAAATTGCATTTTTTTCATTAAAATAAAGCTGATAAAAACTGGAAAAAACAAAGAAAAGAAAAATAACAAAAGAAAGAACAAACCCTTGAAAAAGAGAGGTTTCTTCGCTTTTTATTTTCCTTTTACCATTTTCTTCTTTTTTGGTTTTTTTTGTTTAGTTTCCCTGAGTTTTCAAATTCAAACCATTAACCAGTTTATACAGCTATTGGCTTTAATGGATTCTCTTTTCTTTTTCTTTTTCCTTCCAAATAATTATTTAAAGAGGCATTGAATTAAGCAGCAGCAACAGTTCCAGTGTGAAAAGCATAGTCACGAGATCTAGTTGGAGAAGAAGACGAGCTTCGTTTTTCATTTCTCCTCATAGCTTTCACAGAAGAAGACAGATTCTGTTTCTTCTCCTTTGATTCGTCTCTCTTTATCTGTTCTTCTCTACACTCTTCGCTACAAAACGGTGTGTCTCCTCTGTTTTTCCACAAACCAAACATTTCTAATCAGACACAATAATCATCTTCAGAACATTTCTTGAACTCACAACCAAAAAAATGAGAAACCCTAATTAGGGTTTGAGCTAATATTGATTAAAAAGATCAAAATCTAAGCTAAAGCGATCGAGTTTCTTAAGCTAAAATACAGAATTAGAATCTGGAATTTTTAAAAATAAGATCCAAGGGGAACAAAGATGTACCTGTACATGAAGATGTCTCTGTTATCACCAAGGCGCTTCTTACAGAGGAAACAAGAGTCCAAGAAATGAGGAAGTGGTTGTTGTCTGAAAGAGCTGTTGTCGAATCGAAAATCATTGAATTTTCCAGAAACAACAACAGATCTGGGTGATGAAACAGAGTACTGATGGTAATTGTAATAACTCTGATGATGATGGTACTGATTCATCTTCGTCATGTTTCTGTAATAAGAAGGACTCGAAACTCCAGCTTCCATCTCAGCTAGAGAAACCAATCCATCGTCTTCTTCTTCTATGAAATAAGGCTTTCTCGTGGAAACCTCCATTTTCTGATTTTTATTATGTTTTTCTTTCTTCTTCTTCTTCTTCTTATGATATGAAAGAGAGAGAGAGAGAGGTTTGGTGTGGAGGAGATTTGTGGGAAAATGGAGTATACTTTTATAGCAATAGAAGGACAGGTTTATTTCTGGTTAAGAGAGAGAAAGTAAGGAAATGCAGCAAAGTTTGAGGAAAGAAAGTGAAGAGAGAGAGAGAATCTATTGGCTTCTTTGTTTTGCAATACCACTTTTTTTCTCTTCTTTTCTTTCAATTTCTTTGAATTTCTTAATATTTTGAACTACCTAACCATAATGACTAATAATTGAGCCAGTACATACATAATTATTGTGTTTTAGTCTTTTCAGCTTATAAGCATTTTCTTATGAATTAAATCAAAGGAACAGTACAATTATATAATAGTTAAAAGATCTTTCATTTTATAAGTACTGTTTAACATAATTTCAGGTTACTTACAAAAAACATAAATTCATTTTATAACCCCTAAACTCAAAAATAAATCGAATTTTAATCCGAACGAAATAAATTTTCTTTTATAAAATAATTAAAATTAAATATAATTGTTTGATGCTTTTAAAACCAAGTCACCAAGTTTTAGAGGGTTACAGTTAAAAAATACTTTGTCATTGACCATTCACCATATCAATAATGTTTACTCCAGGCTATACGCTACAATTTTCTTTGATCTAAGACAAAAAAAAAAGTTTAATGGAGAAAGAAAGACGAAGATGCTACTGGTGTTTGTTGTCTATTTAGTAATCATAGTGTTAATATCATAATTTAACCTATATATGCTATGCTATTATGAAAATGCAATTGGGTTTCACGGAAAAATGGTGGCAACAATGTTATTGAAGCTAGGAGTGAGGGACATAAACGTAAATAAAAAACCTGCAAGAAAATCTTCGAAACGGTTCCATAAAACATGGGTCCCACCGGCACTTGGACGTTAAGAAAGTCATTGGATCGTGGGGGCCACACGCGCGTGTCCTTGCGCGTTACGTTAATAACCTTCACCACTTGTGTCTTCTCTTTATTGGGACGACACTTTAATTATTAATAGAATAAATACGACATCGTTTTCTTCCTTTTTATAGTTTCTTTTTTTCCGTGATGAGTGACGTTTTACGAAGACTTTGGAGAAGCTTTGTGAGTCTTGTGACGATACGCACTCAACAATTAAAAAAGAAATACAAGTGTTTTTAGCTTATTAATGAAAAGCTTATATTTGAATTCTAACATGTACATTTACCTTTTTTCTTACAGAAATTGAAAATAAAACACACATAATATATATGTGTATGATTTATGTGAAGTCAATTGGTTTGAATAATTTGACTAAACCAAAATTGTGAATACATTTATTAGTATTGGACTTCCTTGGAAACAATAACTAACAAAGTAGGACCACTCTCTCATTGAAGTGTGAAACACGCGCCATAGGATGCGTGTAAGCAATTATTTAAACATGTAAACGTCGTACACTTGCGCAAGGCTCGGAAGTTCGCAAACTTCTACCCCACCTGTCCCTTTAAAGTCTTTTTTTTTTTGAACATTTCAATTTATAATTTTTCACTCCAAACTTTAATCATGCATTTTTATATATATATTTTTATACTCCTTCTGTTTTAAAATAAGTGTTATTTTGACACTTTTCACACAAATTAAAAAAAGTTTTAAAAATTCTGTTTTATCCTTTATTCACACATAAAATAAATTATCTTTCTAATTAATACATTAATATACAAAGTTTAAAAGAGGATTTTTGTTTGAAAAATTGCATTGAAAATACAAAACGAAATTTTTTGTGAAACAAAAATAAAATTTTAAAACGACACTTATTTTGAAAGAGAGAAAGTAAGATTCATCGTTCGGTATAAACAAATTAGTTTTCAATGCTGAATGTGGTTATAAATTATGAAGCGCCTGCAACAAATATAATATTTTTTTTTTGGTAAGCTGTGAGTATTTAATATTCTTTTTCTTGGATGTATTTTTCATTATAATAATCTGCCAAAAAATATCTAAATGGAACCACGTCACTCTCCGTCATTATAGTTTTTAAAAATTTATGTTGATTCTGCATCTCTCTCCTGTCTTTTCCCTACAATTTAAAAGGAAATTATGTCATTATTTCTCAACTGCATAAATACTGTGGGCCCACCTTCCTAGCACACAGGATTGTGGGTCCCGATTCACTTTTCTTAAGCTGCTTATTTACATGCCCTGCCATTGCCTCCATTGGACCGTTGTTATTTTTTTGCTAAATTACTTGATTTATAAAACACCTATGTGTACGATTATTCGTCGATGATATGCACAAGGTTAACAACGATGATTGATGAAATTTTATAAATACACAAAGGAATTAGTGACCAAAATGCTGTTGTACATGTTCATAACTTTAGTTACCATTATTTGAAACTTTTGACAAATGTTGATATAATTTTGTGGCTGATATATATTGATCGAAATATGTAGTTATTTGTTGAATTTGTGAGATAATGTTCTAATGATTATCAAAGAGATATAGGTATTAGATTTATTTGATTGAGCTATATATCTGTATAAAATACTGTAGTAGTTGAACGGCTAAAAGTATTACAAAAAAACAATAAGTTATTAGTGACTAATTCATTGCTTATGTATCGAAAGATTCAAACAAAACAATTTCTTGGTGGTTTTACAAAATTTCCGGTATTGTTTTGAATGGCAAAGCCTTGTTTGAGTCTTTTCTGTGGGTTAATTTCGAATTTTGATATTAAAAACATTATTCCTTTTTCTTGCGAGGCTTTTAAAAACAAGTAAGGTACTTTGGGATTATTGTTTTAAATTACATTCCTTTGGGAAAAAAAAACTACTCTGAAGTGTGAAGACGTTTTAAATTTTAATAGATGCATAATTGCATATATTGTTGAAAAAAAAAAAAAAAATAGATGCATATTATTCTCTCGAGATTCGCACGAGACACACGTGTGTCTCAATGCTTGGCGTATCGCGACACGTATGGCTTAAAAGAGCAGTGCCTGACTACTATACCAGGTCAATCTAATAGACTAATACCGTCCAAGATGGAACGGTTCATGAGTTTGTATATGTAAGATCGTTTTTTCATCGTCCGATTCAGAATTGATTCCTCTGGGACCCATTTTAACGGATCTGCCCAGTCAAGTCTCCCCCTAATTTTACTGTACTTTCTTCAGTTCTTGTCAACATGGAGAGAAGATTATTTATGTGCATCTACTTATACATTTAGCAAAACTAATAATACTATAACGAGTATATTACTATATATACTTCAGTCTAGTTTTGAATTTTCAACAAAATTATAAGCCGGCGGTACGGTCTAATATTAATAATCCATGTCTCATTAAAATATTTATAAATAAAAAATCAAGTCACAGCGAATATAGTAGTATTTTTCTGGCCAAAAACACCACTAATATATATAGTATTTGTACCCTATATTTTTAGATTTTTTTTACTAATCCCCGTCTATGGCGGAGTAATATATACGTACAAATAGTTATGCTGAAACAAAGTCTTAAATAATTATCACGACTCCAATCGAGTAAAAGTAATTCAAATGTCTCCGTACGATTGTTGGGAGACAGTTCTTACAAGATCGTTATAATGATATTACTGTATTAATCGTGGAGTTTGTCACATGGGTTAAGTTCAAATAGGGAACAACATTTGTGGCGCACCAGGCCACTAATTATTGATATAAAACACAAATAAAATAAGAGTCCATACAATTAGCAACTTGATATTAATTAATAATTAGTTAAGTGAAATAACCCTAAGAACAGGCTTGATCTACAAGTTTGATGGAGTTCTCGGATCATTAGGTTCATTGTTTACAATAAGAGATCTAGAAACTGCCACGAGGACAACAATATGTCTCCTATGTCGAAACACATCGGCTCTCGTATTAGATTCTCGCCCACTTACTTTCATAAAACAAATAGATTGATTATCATATAAAGCTAATTCCACTAAATTACTCATTACTTTCTGGTAATCCCACACCTAATATTCATTCCTTAATAATTTATGTACTAGTGTATCAGTAGGAGCCAGGAGGGCAACCTAAGATAGTTATTTTGTCGTTTATGAGACATATTCTTATAAAATAATTGTATATTAATTCCATCATTAACCTTTTTTTTAATCATCCTGATTCCTGAATGATAGCGCATGCAGCACCTTACACTCTACCCGAAGAGTATAAATATTTCATTTTGGGCCTCCGCTTGAAAACATACGGCATAATATCAATTGTATGCAATCTGATTAAAGTTTATGTTGGGCCATTTTTGTAATATTTAGTTATTCATTTTGGGCCACTAAACTTGTATATGTCAACCTTGTTAGTTGTTACATTTTAAAAAAGAGTAAATCCCTTTGAAAGATCATAGGTATCAAGTTATTTTATATTCTTACGTTACAATACTTATTGACAAGTCACATAAATATGTATCCAACATAGTGTTTATGTGATTTAATGATTAATCAGATTTTCACATGCATCAAATACTAGTCTAAGTTTATGATTTAGATTTCCCCTCATTTTAAAATAAGAATCCTGACGTAGCAGAATAGCTATATAATTTGCCATGATATATGATTGATAAAACATGTGTAGTCGCTATTGATCATATTAGGTTTACCAATCAAAATGAATGTGCTCATATAAGTGAGATTAGACCGATAAGCCTATGCAACGTCTTCGAAAATCTTAAGTAAGAGGCTCAAAAAATTTCTCCCGAAACTTATTTCAGAGATCCAATCAGCTTTTGTAGCTTGACGGCTTATTACAGACAACATTCTGGTAGCACAAGAGGTATTTCATGCCTTGCGGATAAACCCAATCTGTAAGTCGAAATTTGTAGCGATTAAAACATACATGAGTAAAGCTTATGATCGGGTTGAGTGGGGTTTCCTTGAAGCTTTGATGCGTAGAATGGGATTCGATGAAAAATGGATATTGTGGATCAAATGGTGTATCTCTTCAGTATCATACCAGGTTCTCCTTAATGGCGAAGCAAAAGGAAACATCCAACCTTCAAGAGGTTTACGCCAAGGAGATCCCCTA